ACCCTCGGTGCCTCACCCCCAGATGTTTGTGCACGTGGCCGAGGTGATGGGCAGGCATTATGGGATGGTGCCGATCCAGGTGAGACACCCATGTCCGGACACATCACCCCAGACTCTAACACCCCACAGCTGCTGGTGTCAGGACCCCTTCTCTTCCAGCACCTGGATCTCTTAGTCCGGGACTCATCCCACCCCAACAAGGCAGGGCTGGGGCGCGTGGGTGACGTCATCCAGGTGAGGGGTGCAGAGGGCCGGGATGAAGGTGGCGGTGGGGGAGCTGGGCAGGAGGTGAGGGGAACTGGGGAGGGGACCTGCAGGGAGCTAAGAACAGGAGCGTGGCCCCTAGCTCACAGGTCTCCCCTCTGCGCTCTCAGAAAGCCTCCAGCAAATACCCCAAGGTTCAGGAGCTGCTCCGAGGGAGGCGAGCCCGCTGCTACCTCCTGCCTGCTCCTGAGAGGCGGTGGGCCAGCAAAGACCACGGAAGCCCAGGTGGTGAGTGTCCCCGGGAGCAAGGCCTCCCCCGCCTGCCCTCCTCTGGGTGACCCCCCCCCTTGCCCAAGCGAGCCTCTCCCTGCCTCTGACACCCTTTCTCCTCCCAAAGCCCGGTCCTGCTCAGCCCCCGGTCCTCAGCATGAGGAATCTCTCCTTCAGACACAGATGACGATGTCCGCCACCTCTGTGCCTACGTCGCCGATGTGCTGAGTGCGGCCCCCCAGCACGCCAAGAGCCGCTGCCAGGGGTACTGGAGCGAGGGCCGCCCTGCGGCCAGGGGAGACAGACGCCTGCTCACCGGGCAGCAGTTAGCTCAGGAAATCAAGGTGGGCCAGCCCCCAGCCCCAGGCCCCGGAGAAACCGCCCCCCGCCCCCCCGCCCCCGCGCCCCTTGCCCTTCCTGACCCCTCCCGTGATGTCTCTGCAGAACCTCTCAGGCTGGATGGGGAGGACGGGGCCCGGGTTCACCTCCCCGGACGAGGTAGGGGCCCCTCCCCCCCCACCCCCAACCCGGGGGAAGGGTCTGGGGGGCCGGGCGGGGGCGGGGCTGTGGGCCCCGGGACGGAGCAGAGGGCGCGGGCGGCCGAGGAGGGAGGCAGCCTGGCTTTGCCGTGGACAGATGGCCGCCCAGCTGCACGACCTGAGGACGGTGGAAGCTGCCAAGAAGGAGTTTGAGGAGTACGTGCGGCAGCAGGTGAGCCAGCCTCGAGCGGGGGGCGGCGCCTCAGGCGGCAGGGGCCACCCCTCCCCCCCCTCCCCGGGACAGAGCTCCGGGGGCGGAAGGTCAGCGCGCCTTCCTTCCTCCCCGCCACAGGACGTGGCCACCAAGCGCATATTCTCTGCGCTCCGGGTACTGCCGGACACCATGCGGACCCTCCTCGCCACCCAGAAAGATGCCATCCTGGCCCGCCACGGGGCGGCCCTGCTGTGCAAGGGCAGAGAGCAGACCCTGGAGGCCCTGGAGGCCGAGCTGCAGGCCGAGGCCAAGGTCTTCATGGACTCTTACACCATGCGCTTCTGTGGCCATCTGGCCGCCGTCGGGGGCGCCGTGGGCGCCGGGCTCATGGGCCTGGCGGGCGGCGTGGTGGGTGCCGGCATGGCCGCGGCCGCGCTGGCTGCGGAGGCCGGGATGGTGGCGGCGGGCGCGGCGGTGGGGGCCACAGGGGCTGCGGTGGTCGGGGGTGGCGTGGGCGCCGGGCTGGCTGCCACCGTGGGCTGCATGGAGAAGGAGGAGGACGAGAGGGTGCAGGAAGGGGACCGAGAGCCCCTACTGCAGGAAGAATAACGGGGCCCAGGAGACCCAAGGGAGGAAGAGGTGCCGGGTGGGAGGGCAGGAGGTGCCGGAGGGGAGGGCTTGGGGGCGGTGTGGAGAGCACGGCGTGCTGCACCGCCCTGCTCCAATGCCCAGTGTCTGGGTGGCTGGCCGAGCTGGACAATCCAGGTGGCTCCAGGATCCTGGGGAGGCCGCCTGGGGCCAGGAGGCAGTGTCTGGGGGCAGTGGATAGAGGACAGGGCCCATTCCTGGTTGCAGACCACTGCTAACCTGCCTGTGGTTCCCAGACCAACTTGACCCCAGGGTTTCCCACCCAGAGTGAGGCTCCACTGGCCTCCCTCTCCTGGCTTATTCCCCTGATGACCCTGAATTGTAGGAAGGCTGAGCAGGCACCATTCTGGAAGTCTCCCTTGGGTGAAAAGGATCTGTCCCTTCACAGATGGGAGAAGCCGCGGGGTCGGGTGACGTTGGTGCTCAGGACCAGGGAGCACTGATGAGGGGCTGGGGGAGAGAGAGAAGGCGTGGCCACTGGGCAGAACCAAAGAGTCCAGTGTGGTGGACAGCGACCTAATCCCCAGAGCGGAGACACTTTGCTCTGATGACTTTTCCCAGAGCTGCCCCCAGGAGGATAATGGTGGCCTCCCTGACCCTCCGCAGCCCCAGGGAGTCCACATATGCACTTTGAATGGGGGTCCCTGTAGATCTTCCCTCATGGGTGTGTCCTTTGTTGAGCAAGCTCAGACAGCAGAGTGCCCAAGTTCTTTCTGGAATGCTGTCCCAGCAATGGGTTAGATGCCAAAGAAAAATGCCCGTAATTGCATTCTGAGCTAAATCGGACAGCCCTCGTGAGTCTATGAAAGTCCTGCAAGGGACAGCAAAGGGAAGAACACATTCCATCCCGAACACGAACACGCCCTTTTTCTGGAGCCCATGTCTGCAGGAGACCTGGGTGCAACCCCCCACAGGAACCCAGAGGGCCCAGCGTCCTTCCATGGGACAGAAAAGTCCTGCTGGAAGACTTCTAGGCTATTAAGCTGTAAAGTATTCATGGGCGCCTTATATGAAAAATAAACTGTGTGTGCTTGAGTGTCAATTTCCCAGTAAATTATTGAAACAATACTCGAATTCAGCCCCCAGAGGGCTTTGGGGCACAGGGGCGGGGGAGGTAAACCAAGGCATTCCATGGTGGGGACCTGTGGATAGGGAGAGCAAGACTGAAATTCAGGAGATCTGGGACCTGAGTGTCCAACACCCCACTTGGGGGTTGCAGGAGGGCTCAGGCCAAAGGCCAAGGGCACAGCCACCTTCCACTAAGACTTGGGGTCCTGCTCTTCTGGTCTCTCCTGCCTCAGATGGCCCTGGGAATAGATTGTCACCGGGCATCTGTCCTGGCAGAAGGAGAGAGTTGGAGGTGTAGGTGAGGAGTCTTTGCTTCATAAAAACTAGAGGCAGGAGGACCCCAGGCCTACCTCTGGTCAGGGGCGGGGGGGGGGGGGGTCAGCCAGCCAGGCATTCCCATGCTGTGTCTCCTCCCTGCCTCAGCTCCCCACCTCAGAATTTCAGCAGAGGTTACCGTGTCCAAACCCTGCCTTTTACAGATGCAAACCCAGAGAAGGGACGTCTCAGTTAATGCCCCCCAGCTGACTGGTGGCAGAGTAGGGCAGCTCCAATTCAGGCAGCTCCTGATTCCCCAGCTGGTGTTCCCCCACATCCATCAGAAGAGTTGTTGTTGTTGTTGTTTTAATGTTCATTTATTATTGAGAGACAGAGCATGAGCATGGGAGGGGCAGAGAGAGAGGGAGACACAGAATCCAAAGCAGGCTCCAGGCTCCGAGCTGTCAGCACAGAGAGCCTGATGTGGGGCTCCAACTCGCGAACTGCGAGAAATTAACCTGAGCTGAAGTCGAACGCTTAACCGACTGAGCCACCCAGGCGCCGCAGAGTTTTTAAGGTCAGCTGTCCTGAAATCCAGGTGCTCTTCTTAGGTGATTTCCTCCCACTCTGGTTCAGCTCTGGGAAGCAGTGTTGCAGGGACTGAGACAGAGGGACTTGGTGTGGGACAAGTGGCTTCACAGTAGAAGCTTCAGTTAGCAAGCTGGGGGCAAAATAACGATGCCAAGAAATCCCAAAGCCAGAGCTGGGGATAGGAGGGGCGAAGACGGAGGGCCGACGGTGATCCTAACTTTTGGAGACTGGGGCAGAGGTGGGGATAGGGTCCAGACTTTGTCTGGTGTGTGCCCAGAAAAGCTTCCTAGAAGCATCTGTAGGGCCCTGCCATCATCATGTGGTGAACCTGTGAGCTACACAACCTCCCAGACTTTGGGGCTGGCAGGCTTAGAACTTGGATGGGGGAAGCCTCCGAGGAGACCCTGAGGGAAGGTTTCGTCTAGCGAGAATCCCACCCAATAGCGCTGCAAGGAGTTGCCGTGATCTACTTTGAATGGAAGCAAGTGGAAATGCTCTGCATAAGCAAGATGAGTCGTATTAAGTTGTACAGCATTTGTCTTGTGCCCTGTAGTTCAAAGCATCCTCCCAAACATCAGCTTCCTTAAGTCTCCACACCATCTCATGCAGCATGTGGAGTATCCATTTCTACAGAAGCCCGGACACGTGACTAGTCAGACGTAAGCCAAGACTTGAACCCAATGTTTTCTGATGCCAGGTTCCTTGCTTAGGTGAGCCCTCACCGCACAAGTCTCTCCAGGCTCCTCGGCCAGGCTGTTGGGTCCCAAACCCAATTAGGGGGCTTCCTGGACTTTCAAGGTCAGTTCTGGAATTCACAAGAGTCCACACGACTCTGTGGTCAAGGTCCCAGCAGGGTGCTGACGTCTGGCTGTTTCTCCTGTGACCTGTTGAAGGTCACTGACTCAGATTCTCAGGTGATTCTCAGGGTTGGAGATCTGGTGATTTGGCTCACTCCTCATGTTGGAGATGGTGGAACCACAACCTGAAGGAACCTGCATTCTTAATTCTTACTGTGGACTGAACCCCACCCCCCACCCATCCTAATCCACCATACGTTGGTATTAGGAGGTGGGACATTTGGGAGGTGATTGGATCATGAGGGTGGAGCCCTCACCAATGGGCTTAGTGCCCTTATAAAAGAGTCCCAGAGAGATCTCTAGTCTCTACCCGCCATGTGAGGACACAGCCGTCTAGGAACCAGGAAGTGGGCTCTCACCAGCCACCACACCAGATCTGCTGGCATCCTGATGTTGACTTTCCCTACCTCCGGGACTGTGGGAAAGAGATATTTGTTGTTTGTATGCTTCCCATTCTGCGGTTGTTAGAGCAGCCCCTCGATCACGTGGCCCAGGGATCCCTCTAACTGCCCGGATGTGCGATAAACCAAGCTCTGAGCAAGGAAGAAACACTACTTGCACAAAGTGAATGAGATGTCTGGGTTTACTTATTACTGCACCACAGCCTGTCCTACCCTCACTAACATGGAAATTTGCTCCTGGAAATGGGGTGAAGACCTGAAATAGTCCTGGCTGGGTGGTGGGCAGTAAGGAAACACAGTGCTGTATCCGTTTTATGGCCTGATGAAATATTGGGTAAAACTATCCTCTACAGTGACACTGAAGACAGACCCTTATACTGCTGTATTTTCATTTCTAAAAATAAAACCTGCCAACCCAGAAAACCCTCCCTACAAATGTCAAAAAGGAATAGTTCTGGTTTTGAGTAAGCATGAGCTCAGACTGGCCTGTGTCCCAGGTGACCTGCTATTTAAAAAATAAAATTATTAAGACAGAAAAGAAATCCCACCATTTAAAAAAAAAAAAAAGATTTTATTTTTAATTAAAAAACAAACAACCAACCACGATGTGGGGCCTGAACTTACAAATCGAGGGTCACATGCTCTACTGACTGAGCCAGCTAGGCACCCTCCCCATCCTGCTTCCCTATAAGCCAAGCAGACACAACCCCTGTTTGCATGTTCCCAGGTATGAGCACTTGTCGGGTGAGGAGACTCAACAGTCCTGCTCACTCTACGTGCTTTCAGAGTTCACTCTGCATTCCCCTGGTCATTGGGGTGGCCATCTGTGCGAGTTAATGGCCTCTATCTGGGAAAAAAAAAGAAAGAAAGAAAAGAAAATTCTTGTACCTCTACGACGAGCAGGTAGTTGAGATGCCTCAGCTAGATTCCCACAGTGACAGGGCGATGGGGCATTGTCTTCCTTGATGTTGACATTGAAAAGAGATGGCTCCCAGGCCCTGCTGAAAAATATTCCTGGGTTTTAATTCTGATAAGAGGCTTATTTAACCTCCAATAAGATTTGCATGCGTATCAAAAGGACAGAGGAATTCTTTCTATCTTTATTTTATTATTTTTTAAAAAGTCTTATTTATTTAAGTGATCTCTACACCCAACACGGGGCTCAAACCCACAACCCTGAGATCAAGAATCACACACTCTTCCAACGGAGTCAGCCAGGCACCACAGGAATTCTTTACAAATACAAATTTTCTCTCTGAAATGTTCTAAGAAAAAGGAGGAGAAAAGATCTCATTCCTTTTGGAAAGGAAATTCAACCTTATTTTTATTTACCCTTTTGTTACTATTTTATTGTAATAGCATAATTTCTAATGATCTCCATTTCTGTTTCTCTTGGCATTTTGCAGCCACTGAAATATTCAGCGATTGTGTGGGGAAATGTGAAGCAAAGTAATTATCAGAATCACGTTGGGATAAATTAGAAAATTCAGTACAATATGGACTTGGGGAAGAAGAGTCTTTAAATGTGTGTACCAACGATATGCTTAATTTACTTAAAGCAAATATTTGATTATGTAAGGGAGGAAAAAATATCTTTTTGTTTTACTTGTTAAAAACAACAGGCCCTAAATGGAATTGCTTATACTAAGCCCATGTCAACAGAGACTTAACTTAGTTTCGGCTCTTCTAGAAATCAGACCTTACTGATAGACCCTTGGCAATCTCCTAAAGGAAAGTGACCTTGTAATAAGCAACTTGCTTTTCTGCCTGGTAGAACTTTCTTGTTCCTGCTCCCTTCTGCTTATAAAAGTCTTCTGTTTCATACAGCTCTGTGGAGCTCCTTCCTATCTGCTAGATTAGATGCTACTCGATTGAATCATTAAACAAATATTATGATAATAATAAGAATTTCACTAGAAAAACTCTTTTCTTAAAAAAAAAGAAAAGCAAGCTCTTTTCTATTGAGCTCAATATCAACGTCAGTGATTCTAGAAAACTTGTTTCAAGTCCTTGTGGGAACCCCAGTCCTTTCCTCCTGAGATGCTGACTTCACATCAGAAGACTGAATCCAACTGGATTTTTCTTTCAGTTTGATAACCATATCAAAACATGTAAAAGGGTCCCTCCCAGTGTGGTGACAGGCATCTTTCCTCTAGAATACCATTTATTTATTTATTTATTTATTTATTTATTTACTTATTTATGTGCTTATTTATTTATATTATAGAGAGAGTGTGCATGTGAGTGGGGAGAGGGGCAGAGGGGAGAGAGAATCTTAAGCAGGCCCCATGCTCCACGCAGAGCCCGATGTGCGGCTCGATCCCACACCCCTGGGATCATGTCCTGAGCCAAAATCAAGAGTTGGCCACTCAACTGACCAAGGCACCTAGGCACCCCTCCTCTGGAACACCTTTATGTACATGAAATCCCCCCAGCAGAGGATGGCAGGCCTCCTCCGATGTCCTCCAATGGGCCCTTCCAGGTCCTTATGATTTTAGGTCTCACAGCCCTTTTAAGTATTGAACATGATTATGAGAGGATTCACCAAATTGGGCACAGACCCAAATTCATCAGCCTATCAAACTGAAGTTCATAAGTTCAAAGGGAGAGACACCATACTTTCTGAGGGGGTGCTATAGGCCATTTTCACCTATAGACATCTTTTTTTTTTTTTAATATTTATTTTTAGAGAGAGAGAGAGAGTGGGAGAGCACGAACAGGGGAGGGGCAGAAAGAGAGCAGAGCCTGCTGCGGGGCTCAATCCCACGAACCGTGAGATCATGACCTGAGCCAAAAGCAAGAGTCAAACGCTCGACCGACGGAGCCACCCAGGCATCCCCTCACCTATAGACTTCTAAATGAAGTTTTCAGTGTTGGATTCATCCACTCCACTTGTCTTCAGGGCTGAGGGGACAGGGCAGATCCCAGCATGATTTGCACGCCTCCTGAATGACAGCGGACATCAGGTCACCTGCAAATCCTGCAGACATAACGAGACAAAGATCTCTTACTTTCCACAGGTGTCAATTCTATGGAATTGAACTGCCACCAAGTGTCTCCTGTGCTCACCTTGGCAGTGGCCCAAAAAGAATTCTGCCGACAGACAGCACGTCTCTGATACATTTTGGATAAGGTCACCTGTTTGGTCGTCATTGGTAAGAGTCTAGTGCCTTTAAAATTCCTCTCAGATGTTTGACTCAGATGATTTCGTTGATGACACATTACTGGTCTGATCGTGCACCTGCAGTGCTTCTGCACTTAAAAGACGGTCCAGGACATACACAGAAGTCAAATGATCCAAAGAAAGGCTTGAGCTCTTTGCATAAGTGTGGCTGCTACCACCAAGGCGTGGAGGCATCCAGAAGAACTGAGAAATAATGCTATCGGTCTAGAGTCAAATGCCAGATTCAGAGCTCAATTCTGCCAGCAGTCAGTGTCTTTGTTTCCATGGTAAATCACGTGGAAAGCTTTTTCAAAATTTGGAATCCTCACAGCGTGGGGAGAGACCGTGACCAATTTCAATGGTTCAAAAACTTCCTGCGGATTCTAGGGATCCGACACAAGGGTCTAGAGTATTATCAGTCGGTTGGTCTATCAGAGGATTTGCCCGCTCTTGAAAAAGCTGGAATCCACCGTGGGGAATATGTCACTTGTCCCCCAAATTGTTGCTTTGTTGTTGTTGTTGTTGACTATTTCATCTGAGAAATTGGCTAACTCCGGCATTCTAACACTTTGTGGACTTCCACGACAAATTCCCTAAATATGTGACCCCAGTTTGGCAATATTGCAGTTTGTCTAGTGAGGCCGTATGTCCCCGCCAGGTGAGGAATGGCGAGAAGCCAAAGCATCACTTCTGCATTACACTTCAGTTTCTGAAGCTACCAGCAAATCATCCCCATACCGAATAATTATAGATCGCTCGGCGAGACAGATTTCCCTAAACGGGCTAGACAAAACAGTAGGAGTCCCCCAAATCCTGAGGAACATTTTGCTCTGAACACTGGACTCCTTCAAAGGTAAAAGCAAATGGGAATTGGAACTCATTAGCTAGAGGAACAGAAGAAGAAAAAAAAAAAACACAGCAGAATGTAGAGAAAAACTGTAGGCGACAGAATCAAAGTCAGAAAAGTTGCAGGGGGACCATGGAGCTTAATGAAACGACAAACTCATTCACCTCTCTCAGATCTGGTACAAAGCCCTACAGGGGCCAACCCTCTATCTCAAGGTCACTTTCCCTCCTTGCTGGAGGTATGGGAATATGACAGAGTGAGTGTCCCTTTGAAAAAATGATGGCTTGTTTTCTGATTTTTTTCAATAACGTGTTTGATTTTCTCCAGCTAAGCCCTTGACGAAGGATCTGGTTTTCCACACGGCCCTGGCTTACCTTTTCGGTAAGGTATTTTTATCAGTTCTATATCCCCAGTTAAACCAGGATACTAAATCCCAAAGCCCCAGAGTGGTGCATGGATCTGTCTCAGCTGGGTGCTTTTCCAGCATGGTCTGAGACTGCCACTCTGCGATTCCCCCTTTCTTTCAGGAGGCACAGGGTCGCCGGGTCAGCCTTTTGTCCAGGGAGGTCCACAAACACTCCATTGGAGCACAGAATACGGTAGGTTCTCACGTGCACAGCAAGCATGTCCCCTGCGGATTTACTCGGGAATCAGGAGAGGGTAAGAATGCTGTTCCTCAGCCAGGGAGGGAACCACAGAGAAAGAGGAACCGTTGAGAACTCTTGCTTTTGGGTGGAGTCTTTTAAAAAATGGTAATTAGGTCAACATTGTTTACAGCATTGCTAAACCTTCTGTGTCCCTACCGATTTTATCTACAGTTATCAACTACTGAGAGAGGGATGTGAACTTTTCTAACTGTAATGGTGGATTATTTGTAAATATATTCTAAATAGGATGCGCACAAATGGTGGTCTACTTCCTCTGGCAATTCTATCAGTTTCTGCCTCATGCATTTCGAAGTCCTGTTATTTAAGTGCGTGCATATTCAGGAATGTCCTGTCCTCCCCTGAATGCAGCATATTATGAAATGTTTCCCTATCATCCTGCTAATAGTCCTTTTGCGGTCTTCTCTGTCTGATACTGATACAGCTACTTCATGTGTGTATTATGGAGTGCTTGGCTGGTATATCTCTTTCATTCTCGCACTTTTAACCAGCCGTGTTTTTATATTTAAAGCGTGGTTCTTATAGAGGGCATATTTTGGGTCTTGCTTTTTTACCCAGTCTGATAATACCTGCCTTTTGTTTGCAGTCTTTAGGCCATTTACATTTAAAGTAATTATTAATCGGACGTGCCTTGATGTGGTTTTCTTTATGTTTCCTTGTGCTTCAGGTTCACTGAACCTCGATCTGTTGGTTTCTGTCAAATTCAGAATATTTCAGGACATTATTCTTTGAAGTTTTTCCTGCCTCTTCTCATTCTGGGACTTCAGTGACATGAACGCTGGACCATTTGCTATTGTCCGACAAGTCCTTGATGTTCTTTTCTCCCGTCTCTGTATTTGCCTTCTCTGATCTTTACTCTCTAATATCCACTCTGCTGTAAATCCCATCTAGTCTTTCTTTTTAAAGTATCTTCTTTTTCACTCCTGATCCTCTGCATTCTTGAGTACACAGAGGATATTTATAACTGTTTCTGTGTCTTTGTCTATTAATTGCCTCATCTCTGCCACTTAGCGATCTGCTTCTCCTGATAGATTTTCCCCTTGATTATGGGTAATATCTTCCCGCTTCTTTCCATGCCTATTGATTTTTTCTGAAAAAAAAAAATTAAATACTGTAAAATATATATAACACAAAATTTACCATCGTAACTGTTTTCTAAGTGTGCCGTTCAGTGTGCTAGTCAATGTGTTAACTACATTCACATTACTGTGTGACCATCACTGCCAGACTCCAAACTTGCAAAGCTGAAACCCTGTCTCCCTGAAAAAATAATGTCCTTCCCTCCTCCCCCCCGCCCCAGCCCTGACGGCCACCACTCTACTTTGTCTCTATGAGTCTGAGTACTTTGGGGACCTCATATGATTGGAATCATGCAATATTTGTCCTCTTGTGATTTGCTTATTTCATTTAGCATAACGTCTTTAAGGTTCATCCACATTGTAGCCTGTGACAGGATTTTTCCCCTTTCTGAGTCGGGCCTACTGATATTTATTTATTTATATTTGAGAGAGAGAGAGAGAGAGAGAGAGAGAGAATACACAAGTGAAGCAGGGGGTGGGGGGAGTAGAGAAAGAATCTCAAGCAGAGTCCACACTCAGTGCAGAGCCCTACACAGGGCTTGATCCCTCGACCCCGAGATCATGACTTAAGCTGAAATCAAGAGCTCGCCACTTAACTGACTGAGCCACTGAGGCGCCCCATGCCTACTGATTTTTTAAAAAAAATTTTTAACGTTTATTTATTTTTCAGAGAGTGCAAGCAGAGGAGGGACAGAGAGAGAGAGAGAGAGAGAGAGATACAGAATCTGAAGCAGGCTCCAGGCTCTGAGCTGTCAGCACAGAGCCTGACACAGGTCTTGAACCCATGAGCTGTGAGATCATGACCTGAGCCGAAGTTGGTGCTGAACCAACTGAACCACCCAGGCACCCCAAGGCCTACTGATTTTTAATCGAATGCTAGACCTTGTGAGGTCCCATTGTCAGGTCCCAAATGTTGTTGAATTTCCTTTAAAGAGTGTGGGATTTTCTTCTAACAAACAGCTTGAAAGGATCAAATGGATCTCTAGTAGCTTAGCTGTTTTCCAGAACAAAGTACAGCAGTCTTTCGAGAAAGACAATATCTAGTCTCATGTACTACAAGGCCTCTTTCCATGCTGGATTTTTTCCCAGCCCTGCGTGAGTGCCAATGACTATTCAGTCTACAAGTTCCAAATCAGATTTCTGGGGAAAAAAAGAAAAAAGAAAAAAGCTTCCTTAGGGGCACTAAGCAAAAGGCCAATTAAAAAAATTTTTTTAATGTTTATTTATATTTGAGACAGACAGAGCGCAAGTGGGGGAGGGGCAAAGAGAGAGGGAGACAGAATCTGAAGCTGGCTCCAGGCCCTGAGCTGTCAGCACAGAGCCTGAAGCGGGGCTCCAACTCATGACCCATGAGATCATGACGTGACCCCAAAGTCGGACACTTAACCTACTGAACCACTCAGGTGCCACTCAAAGGCCAATTTTAAATACTGTATTGGTATCCATGAAGACTCAAGACACCATAAATCTAGAAATGCAGTCCTAATTGGCTCATTCCTATTATAAGAAATGATATTTATCCTCCTAATATAATATAAACTTCACTAGGATATTACTTCTCATATGGACATCAGGCTTATACTTGTCTACCACATTCTAATTTATTCTGTGTAACCTGAGTAATTGTTAGAGGTATCCAGATATTTAAAACCACCACCCCTCTAGTCAATCATGCGTCCTAAAAGGGACATCCAGAAATTCCTAAAACAAAAGAAACACAAATTATTCTTAAAAACTTCCAGAAGGGATCATCAGTTCTCATTTCCTGCACACTCCCCAAAATACAACGCCCACAAAGGGAGCGAAACAACTAGAAAAGGTGTTCACACTTTTCTCTAACCTTCACAAAAGTCATAAAAGATGACACTTCTGTTCTGAAGGCCCAACAAACCAATCTAACTGCATTAGCTAAAGTAGCCATGGCAATCCTATAAGCTTTGATTTGCTCTTAGCTAGTCAAGGGGAGCTAACGCTAAAGCACATCTTGTTACACCTATGTAAGTGCTATGGGGCAAGTAGAAAGGTCCGTGACTGGCTAAAGGAAAAGACCTGACTCTCTAAAACAGACCCACTAGATTGTGGGACCTATTGGCTTTGAGACCTATTACAGGCGTTAATAGTCATTTTGTTTGTGTTAACTGCCTATTTTACTGTCGATTTATATGTCCTGTCCAGAGTTGTGATTTTTTTTTATTAAAAAAAAGTTTTTTAATGTTTATTTATTTTTGAGAGAGAGAGAGAGAGAGACAGAGCGTGAGTCGGGGAGGGGCAGAGAGAGAGGGAGACGCAGAATCGGAAGCAGGCTCCAGGCTCTGAGCTGTCAGCACAGAGCCCGACACGGGGCTCGAACCCATGAGCTGTGAGATCATGACCTGAGCTGAAGTCGGACGCTTAAGCGACTGAGCCACCCAGGCGCCCCTGTCCTGTCCAGAGTTTTAAATGCTACTGCGCGGTCACTGTCACTTCAGGTCCTACAACAGAGAGAAAAACAGAGATTGACCTTGGGTCAACTATGGAGTATGTTCGATGCACGGGCTTTTGATCTTAATCAACAACATCTTGACAAGAGTGAAAATCTAGACATCATGAATTCATGTCCTGGAGCCTGACGTCATCTGTCCTTGGCCAAAAGAGAAACTGAGAGGGGAAAAGCAGCCCCTGACATCTGGAACTGATCTAACAGTTGTAGCGAGATCTCAGCATGATCATGAGCCCGTCTGAGGCTCACAGCCAGGCCATTTTGTTCTGTTGGATGTAAGGACCTTCATAGACTTACCAGCCTCAGAGGTTACTCTGAGACCAGGGGTAAAAATGAAACAAAACAAAGCCGCTTCATAATTTCATCTAAGAACAGATGCAAATAAGGCCACCGACCATCCCACGAAGTGCCCAATGATAAAGCTGTCACCGGCTTTCTAATAGCACTCCATCTGGACCAAATCCATGGCTTCCTTGAACCCTTCACCAAATGACCCACCCAACGCCCAAATCCTGTAACAGGTTGGGTTTTTTTGCCTAGCACAGGGGCTGTGGAGTGGGCGTGGCCAGGGTTGTAGCTGGGCCACTTAACCGCTGTGTGCCCGTGTCCCATACACTGTTGCTCTTCCTGTCTCAGTTTCCCCAGATGCAAAAAAAAAAACAAAAAAAAACCTAGGAGCATTCTCTTTCAAAGGGAGCTGGCCACAAACAGGGACTGTTTACCATTCTTAATTGTTACTATCGTAAATCATCTCAACCACAGCTCAAGATCTGGGCTCCAGAGATGCAGATCTTCCCAGGAGGCCAAACTAATTTGGGCCTTGTAAGAGGACTGCAGCTGGCCAGGAGCATGCCTGTCTGCACTCAGCCCTGCCCACTGCCCCTCTGGTCCTTACCACTTCTTCCCTGGCATGAGCTGGGCGGAGTGGGTCAGATGGGAGCTGGGTCCAGGCGGTGGGGGTAGGGCAGGCTGTGCTGGCCACAGTCTTCAAGGGTTTAGGCACAGCACCTCGCGAGGCAGGGCCCCAAGTGTCACAGCCAGTACTGCGGCTCCTTAAGCCATCCAAGTGGGCCAGGCTGGCTCAGGGCAGGCTCATTCTCCAGGTGAAGCAGAAAGGCTCACAGACCTATTTCCCCTCCATCTCCTGTAGAACTCAGCCAGCCTCCCCCGCTCCCCTCACACCTACCATGGACGGAAGCATTGCCGTTAGCTTTAATGTCTATATAGCCAACTCCTTCCGGAATCTAGAGATTATCCTCTAATTCCACAAGGGTGTGGCTTTTTTTATTATTTATTTATTTTTAATCTTTATTTATTTTTGAGAGAGAGAGACAGAGCACGAGCAGGGGAGGGGCAGAGAGAGAGGGAGACACAGAATCCGAAGCAGGCTCTGGGCCCTGAGCCGTCAGCACAGGGCCTGACGCGGGGCTGGAACTCACGAACCGTGAGATCGTGACCTGAGCCCAAGTCGGATGCCCAACCGACTGAGCCACCCAGGCGCCCCAAGGGTGCGGCTTTTTTAAAGAAAGAGGTGGTCAGACCTCACCTTCTACTGAGGGCTGAGCCCTGTCTGTAACCCACCCTCCCTCAGCAGAAGAGAGGGGATTGCAGCAGACATCTCCTCCCAGCCCAGCCCTGTATCCTTTCCCCACGACGCAGCAATGGATTGCGAGTTGCAATTCACGCAGCGCCCTTTAACATTTCTTCTTCAGTTAAAAAATCTATTTATTTTTATGGTGGTAAGAGCCACATAACATAAGCTTGACCATTTTAACTCTCAGTGTACAATTCTGTGGCATTGAGTACATTCACGTTCTCGTGCAGACATCACCGCCATCCATCTCCAGGACTTTTCTCATGATCTCGCACGGAAACTTCAGACCCGTTAAATCATATCTTCCCATCCCTCCCTCTCCCCCAGCCCCTGGTGACCACCACCCTCCCTTCTGTCTCTATGAATCTGATTATTCTAGGTACTCATATAAGTGGAATCAGACAGTATTCATTCTTTTGTGTCTGGCTTATTTCACTTAGCATAATGTTCTCAAGGGTCATCCCTGTTCTACCATGTGTCAAAATCAAATTCCTGTTTATGGCCTAATAATATTCCATTGTCGGGGCGCCTGGGTGGCTCAGTCGGTTAAGCGTCCGACTTCAGGTCAGGTCACGATCTCGCGGTTCGCGTGTTCAAGCCCCGCGTCAGGCTCTGTGCTGATGGCTCGGAGCCCGGAGCCTGCTTCGGATTCTGTGTCTCCCTCTCCCTCTGCCCCTCCCCCGCTCACACTCTGTCTCTAAAATAAATAAACATTGAAAAAAATAAAAGGAAAAACTATCCTATGATCTAGAAACCATTATTTAAATAAATAAATAAATGTGTGTGTATATATATGCATATATATATATATATATATAAAGCTGGGGTACATGATTATTATATATGGGTATATATGCCCAATATATATATTGGGTACATGATATTATATATATATGTATATATATATATGTGTGTGTGTGTGTGTATACATATATAT